TTAAGCACAAATTAATTATGTAAAAAAATATTTATAATATTTTTTATTTTCTTTAATAATGGTCGAAAAAATTTCGAACTGAAAGGTATATACTTTTTTACATCATTTTATAGAATGTAATTTTCTATAGCAAAATACAAAACTTGAATTAAATCGGTCCGAAAAATCTTGAGAAATCGAAATTTAAAAATACGACCTTTTGAAAATTCGGTTTTTTCAGGAACTAATTGTCCGATCTTGCTGACATTTTGCTTTTTGGTATGCAAAATTACATTTTTTGAAATTATGAAGCAAATTATCTACCTTACAATTCAAAATTTTTCAAATCAGGAACTAATTGTCCGATCTTGCTGACATTTTGCTTTTTGGTATGCAAAATTACATTTTTTAAAATTATGTAGCAAATTGCCTACCTCACAATTCAAAATTTTTCGAATCAGGAACTAATTGTCCGATCTTGCTGACATTTTGCTTTTTGGTATGCAAAATTACATTTTTTAAAATTATGTAGCAAATTGTCTACCTAACAATTCAAAATTTTTTGAATCAGGAACTAATTGTCCGATCTTGCTGACATTTTGCTTTTTGGTATGCAAAATTACATTTTTTAAAATTATGTAGCAAATTGTCTACCTTACAATTCAAAATTTTTCGAATCAGGAACTAATTATCCGATCTTGCTGACATTTTGCTTTTTGGTATGCAAAATTACATTTTTTAAAATTATGTAGCAATTTGTCTACCTTACAATTCAAAATTTTTCGACTATTATTAAATAAAATAATAAAAGAATAGCTACTTATTAAAGTCACTTAGTGCATGGAATAATCTTTAGAAAAAAGAATTTCATAATTGATTGCAAAAAATTTTTCAATTCGCTTAAAATGTTATCACATTAAGTTGTCCAAATCTCGTATCTCTATTCCGACTCAACTATGGGAACCATATTTTCCAGATGCGGCTACCTCTAATACCTTGGAGGTCAGAAATCCGAATCTGTTGAAAAAGAATGATGTTTATTAAAAAAAAATACGTATTTGTGTCAGATTTTGTAACTTAAACTATCGTCTGCACTAATTAATTGACCAACTTGAGATCATTCTCTCGAACCATTAAGATTGATTTCTAGAATGTAAAGATCCAAATATTTTTTTGCCCATTGTATATTTGCTCTAATCATTATAATATTTTATTGAGTCATGCTTTCCATTCAAGTTGAATAATTTTATCTAGCAATCAAGTTTTATAAAAACTATAATATGGTTTAAATTAGGACCGTATTACGGTCTTATAAATTTGAACGATACTAGGATTCAATTTGATTCAAAATATTTTACCATGTGAAGTATCATTTCTATCAAAATAAATTTGCAATATCAAAATTGAGGATTCAAATATTTCATTACTTGTAGTCAATATTTTAACGTTTAGTTTGTCAATATTCAAATTTGTCTGTACGTAGTCAAATTGTCAATGCAGCTTTTGGTTTTATCTCATAAGCTTTATTATGAATAGTGTAAAAAAATCTTTTTTTTTTTTACTATTAGTAACAGGAGGTTCTCATATTCAAGGTACCTTCATCTTTAAGAGAGTCCTTCTCACGGTATGATATTAACTAATCACTTTTGGTGATTAAAATAGCTCATTATTTGTTATCAATTTGTCATAAATTTAGTCCTTCAATACGTATATTTTCTTACATATAGTCAATTTGTCAATGCTTCTTTTGGTTTTACCTTTTATAAGCTTAGTGTAAACGAAATCAATTGTTTTTACTATTTGTAACACGAGGTTCTCAAATTCAAGGTACCTTTGTCTTCAAGATAGTCTTCCTTATGGTTGCGTTCAAATGATATTAACTAATCATTCTTATTTGATATAGATGGAGGATAGTTGCTGAACTAACCTAATGTAGACTTTCCCATTAAACAAATTCTACTGTAGAAGTCGGTTAAAAGGGTAACATTAAAATAAAAGGAGGGCACCATTAGCAGAAAGTCCTCCGAGCAGCATTAATTGTCTCCTGATTAGGATTCTAAAAGAATTCTGCAGTGAAAGGTTCCATAGAAGTGAGGCAAAAGTTTCCCGCGTCTTTTCTAATGTGGCTAATGACATTGGAGGTGTCATTAGCGATTAAATTATCCACTGTCGATAAGCGCTGCGATAAATGAGGTCTCCATCGTTAACGAAACGGGTGACTCAATGGGGAGATTTTCACTTTTCCAATTTTTTTTTCCTCTTTTCTTTCTGGGCAATACAACAGTAAAGCTTCCCAAGAACTCAAATTTAAATGGTGTTTGGCTCTCCTAGCTTTTGTGTCTTTTTCAGAACCCAAAGCTCTCGTATCTTTAATTTGCTTAAAGGTAGCTCTAAAATCGCAATGATGTTTCGCGAGAAAAAAAAATTTCCCCGTAAGTTTGGTTTCTAATAACGTTTAAAAGAGGAAAGACTAACATAGAAAAAATTGCTGGAAATTTCCGATTGTTAAAGGATGCCGAAACGAAGATTAAACCCGACTACTGAGAAGAAAGTTCTTTGCACAATGCATTTTAAACCAATTTATGTGGCTGTTTTTTATTTCAATTTGGAATATTAATTTTCCCAGTCAGTGAAAGAAAATTTAATGCAGTTCTTTCGTTGAAAATGATAATTATTTATATTAACAAACATTTATACTTTATGTATGTATAAGAAAATAATTTTATTTTTATACACTTTTGCTAAATTATTATTTATATCATTATCCAATATTAAAAATTGTTAAAAAAAATTTTAAGGCACCAGCTTGTTTCTTATGTTCTGTTTGCATCATTATTAAAAATCATATATATTGATAATCATCATATCTAAATAATGATTATCATTATTGAAAATTTTAAACGGAAGTTTTTGCTCATTTGTAAATTATTGGTCATTTAAACAATATATTATTTCTTATCAATATTTTTCTCTACTAAAAATTCAAAATTTTTAAGCATGAATTTATTTTTAATACAGATGCATATACGTATACGCATACTTACGAGCCTATATTAGAATAATGGATGTTTAGAATTAAAAATCTATTGATTATTCGCTGTGGGGCAAAATCAAGTCAGGATTAGTTATTGCGCCATAACAAAAATCATATTTAAACAAAATAGATATTTATTGTATAAAAGGTATTGATGTTACCGTTGTTCTTTCATGCAAGTAATTTATTGCTCTATGCTCTGAAATAAATACTCTTGTTTTCTCAAGAAATCGTTTTTTTCTTCTTTTTTGAAAATAGCAATAATATGAAAATGTTATTTTTTGAGATATATTCAATCAAATTTATTAAAAAAAATTTATTTTAAAATAAAAACTTCAGAACTTAACGTTACCTAAAACTAATATAGTTCGAAACTCAAAATAGTTCAGTTGTTATTAATTTAAATAATAAAAATTAATTGCCAACATTTTAGTAAAGATCCCTTATTGGGGGAGAAATATTTTAAAATTTTGAGTAAATTGTTTTAGATCAACGTAATTCGTATCAAAGTTATAGAACAATTCAATAATTAAAAGACAGTTACAATTTAAAATTTTCACCAGTTTTTAATAAAGAATAATAAAATCATTTTTATAAATTCACATTTTTCTAAGTCGTTTAAGGCATAAATACATGTTTACAAAATATGTTTTGATAAATATAATTATTAATTTCCTACGTCACGTGAGGGACATAACCTAGACTCGTCATGAAGCCAATAAAAGAAATTCTTATCTAGAGAAAGTATGTTTTTCAATGCTCTGTTGACTTGTCTCCTAACATAATTTTCCTGAAATTTGAAAAAAAAATCAATTTAAAAATTTTTGAACTGCAATGGTTCAGAAAAAAATCTCATTTTCAAATTTATATTTTACGAGAACAATTTAACCGAATTCGTCAAAATTTAAGTCCGAGTTTTTTAATTTAGAAATTAGTTTAAAATAATGCGAAACTATGTTTATTTTTGTTCTGTTTTTATTCACACCGTATCTTTCTTTTTAATTACTACTCATAAATCTATTAATTATTACTCATAATAATGTAGAAAGTCTTATTGTTGATAAAAGGGTTGAATAAGTGAAGGAAATTAAGTAATATTTTCTCCTTAGTATTCTTTAACTTCCCTTAAAAAATTTAATATAATGAAATGGTTTATATCATGCCTCCCTATGAGACGTCTATTATGTCTCACTATGAAACGTGCCAATATTGCCTCACCATAAAACATCTATTATGTCTCCCTATGAAACGTCTATTATGTCTCCCTATGAAACGTCTGTTATATCTCCCTATGAAACATCTATTATGTCTATATGAAACGAGTATTATGTCTCCCTATGAAACATCTATTACGCCTCTATATGAAACGTGTCTATTATGCCTGTGAAGCATCTTTTATGAAACTATCTCTATGAAACGTCTATAAGTCTCACTCTATAACAGAATAATCAAGTTTTAACGTTAAAGCTTTTCATTATTATATTAGAATAGCAATGGCATTTTTAGGCATTTGAAATCAAGCAATTGTTATTTAAATTTCGTAGTTTTTTAATTGTAAATGTTTTCAGCGCATTTAATATCAATCAGAAAAAAAAATGTTTTAAAAAAAGAAATTATAACTATACTTTTTGTGTTTTGTCAATTCTTCAAACTATGTCTTCATGATATATTTCGCTAAATTATTTTAATTTATTGAAAACTACCTTGCGATCGGAGCGAATATATTTTTTGGATGACTGAAAATTAAAAAGCTGAAAAACAAGAATAAAATGTAAAACGAGGTAGGACAGTTAGTGAAGAATACTGGAGGGACAGAAATGGGAAAGTTAATCTCTTAAAAAAATAACCTGACGTATCACAAATGCAAATGAATTAAAAATACTTTGGCGTCAGAGGGAAAAAAACGATATATTTTTTCTACTTTTTTTGTCTTTAGGCTTAGGATATTTTTTTTATAAAATGTAACCTCATCCTTTTTATTTTTCAGTTTTTATACCAAAGAAAGTGGAAGGCGTCTAAAGCCATATAGACAGGTAATCATTTTGCAGAATTTTTTATATTAAATACAGCTATAAAAACTATTGGTACTTACTTAAATACACTTTAATCAATATACATATATTTGTAATTCATTTCTAGTAAATGTTTGGATTCTTTTTGCGGTGTTGTTTGTGTTTTCCATAAGAAAAGAGTAAACTTTCTTTAACCAAATGAATAAGAAAAACTAGAATAAATATTTTATGAATATTTTTTATTTAATTATAATTGAAATTGCTTGTTTTGCAGAAAAAAAGAAAACTTTTAATTAAACGCTCGAATAAGTAAGGATCTGAACATTAAATTATATAAAAAAGACACTATATTTCATCGTTCTTCATTCTTTCTTTTATTTAATATTTAACCACATTTAATATTTCTCCATATCTATTGAATTCCGGACAGTTATAGTTTGATTGAGTAAGAAAAACACTTTTTAAAAATTTAAAAGTTTTCAAATCACAGAACCATAACCACAAAAGGTCTTTTCTTTCTTAAATTTTATCACACTACATTAAGTACATTTAAACACAAGTTCAAATAAGATACTTAATCTAATTTCAAAAATTGAAAGAAGATCAATTCAACCGTAATATTTTTACAGAATAATCAGGAATTAAATTATCATTTGAAATCATATTCATATTTTTCTTGATTTTAATACTTACAATTTTGAGCCATGCTTCATTAAACAGAATAATCAACATAAACTTATTATAAGATATAATTAACGTGCGAAAATTCATCACGTTAAAAATTATCACGTTTCCAATTTGTAAACCATATCAAATTCAAAACGATCACGTTTTATTCACATAAAGATGATACCAATTCAAGAGGTAAACTCTTTCCAATTTAGTCGGGTATTAGAAAACATATTTACTGCATTGAAATTACTTTTCTAAATGATGAATGCATTTTTTTTAGTCTTACAGTTACTATTCTCTCGAAATTTATTCTAGAACATTTCTTACACAAAAGTTAAAACTTATCTATTATTTTTCAAAATAAAAAAATATTTACGTTAATTTCTCTTCCTTGATAACCTCATGTACCCTACAATAACGGAAGAGAGACGTTAAATTTTTGACATTTTTTTAAACTTCTCAAGAAATACTTAAAGAATTGTCTTGTAACTTTAGATGCGTTTAGTTCATGCAAATTTCATCAAATCAGAGGTTTGAGGGGCCGGCAATAGATTACGAAAGAAAGCAAGTGTTTTTGAACAACTTCTGTCAGAGAAATAAGCAGTAAACTGCTTACTTTTAGCAATTACTTTAGTAGTTATTTGCAATAACTGCATATAATTTTATGAATCTAGCTTAAATACAACAATATGGACAATATGGAAATATGGACATTTTTTTTAAAAAATGATTTTTTTTGTCTTACGTTTTTATGCTATAACATAAAAAATATACAATAAAACTAAACGAATTTTTCGGAGCAATTTAAAATTAATTACAAAATTATTGTTTTAAAATTTGAAGAAAAAAATCGTTTAAAACTGCGTAAGATATGTGTGACTAATCCCCTAACTGTCTAGCGGCAGCTAGACATTATCAATGAATCCATACACTCTCAAGAAATCCAGGACAAGCAAAGGGTCGGTCGCAAAAGTCTCCTAAGAAAGCGTAAGATATAATATATTTAAAGTAGTTATTTTATACTGAGCATGCGCGGAAAAATGAATTTTTTTTTTTTTTTTTTTTGAAATAATTTTGAAGTGAATCGTATTGGGCGACTACTGAAAGAAAAGCTGATTTGAAAATCTTAAAGATTTAAGCAATTTTCAAAATAATTTTGTACTTTTCTTACAGAGAAAGCTCAAAAGGATAAGGGGTCTAACACAAATTATATTTTCGCTATTAACCAACTTTTTTTTTAAAATGACACCGGCATTGTGGAGATCATGGGGAATGTTTTTTTTGCATGTTTTCTTCCTTTATACCATCACATTTCTGTGTCCGGACGATTATTGTTAGGTACTATCATTTGTTATTAAATTTTGCTTTATGACACAAAATGAAAATCGTTTAAAACCGCTTATCATTTTGAGCTTTCTTTTAAAAAGTGCAAAAACTACTTAGGAAAAATGTCAGACTTTTTTCATTAGTTGTCAAACGCAATTCCTTACAAAATTATTAAGAAAAAAATGTTTTTTTTTCCGTGCAGTGCAGTATAAAAGAACTACTTAAAATACTTATATCTTGTATTTGTAGTTTTTAACCAATTTTTTTCAAATTTTAAAACAATAATTTTGTCACAAATTTTAAAATTCTCCAAAAATTCGGTAAAATTTTTTTTAAATATTTTTAAAGTTCAAGCAAAAAAATGCAAGATAAAGAAAATTCGTTGTTTATTAAAATGTCCAAATCTCCATAAATATTTAAGCTAAATTTGCGAAATTTTATGCAGCTATTGCGAACAACAACCAAAGTAATCGCTACAAGTTACAAGTGAATCGCTTGTTTTTCTGCAGACGGTGTTCAAATATACTTTTTCCTTCGGAATTTATTGTTGGTCCTTCAAATTTGAAAGCTTTAAATTTTATTGCTTAGTAAGAAAAAACGTATGATCTAAACATCTTTAAAGTTACAAAATAATCTTCTAAGTATTTCTTGATAAATGATAAAAATAAATTATCAAAAACTGAAAGTGTCTCTTCCATTATTGTAGGTAAGTGTGTATGACCTCATATACCTGGCCTCTACACAGCTTCAAACACTTTATAAAGAAGTAAAAACAACATAACATTATTAAATATGAACGCGATTTTAGATTTTTATGCGCAATAAACATTTAAATAATCAGGTAATAAAGTTCTGCACACATGAGTTTCACAAACAGCTTAATTTCTACACTTGCATTTCTTTAGGGCTAGTCTTGTTATACTATCTTATTTATTGCACTTTTCGGTTAAAAATAAAAGGCACACACAGACGTTCACGCACTTTCTGTACACAGATAAGTAAAAAAAAACTTGTTGCCTAAGAATATTATATTCCCAGACTGAGGAAAGGACTCACAATGTCTGTTGGTTTAGCAAACATTCATTTTGGGATGGGTAGTTTTTCTGCATTATTTCATATTTCCTGAAGTATTCGCCTTAAAAGAAAACATTCCCTTTATTTCCATATTTTTGCAATTAGTCTGCCGGCTCTTTTCTGTAAAGGAAGTGATTCTTTAAACGGAACTATAAATCCTTCTATAGAGCAAACATTTCGCAAAAATGAGTCAGTAACCAGATTTAAATGATTTTGACAAAATTTTTTGTATATCTTAAGTTATATCATTTTGAATGTGATCCTCAATCGGAAAAGTTGTCAAAGTTTTGTAGCTACTAATATTGTGTCCTAAAATATTATTCGCAAAAGGTAAGATATCAAAACATTCTTATAGTTTTTAGATATATCGCTGAAGAAGTGCTGTTATATATTTTCTGTGAGTACAAAGGATTTTATATTGTGTATTAAAATTATTCAAATCTGATATAAAATAATTTTATAAAAAATCCTATCATAAAATATTATTAATAATATTTGTTATTGTATTGAATGGGACATTTGTGTAAAACAAAGAAATTGCTTAAAGCAATTTTAATAGTAAGAGGATTTAAAATTTTAAGTGTTTCTCTTATATTTTTGTAGATATTTTCATAACTAATACAATCATATTTTTGTTATGAAAATAACGAGAGAGAAAACAATGAAAATTTTAAAGAATATTATACGAAAATATGATGTTTTAAAATTATTAATTATTTCCAAGCGAACTATTAAGAAAGTCTCCCAAGTGTCGAATTCTTATAAAAAATCCTACTATTTATTTGTTAATACTTAATACTATATTATTATTTTATTTGCATTATTGTATGTTTGTGCATTACTCTTGTAAAGTTTAGATAAATAATTTTCAGCATCTTCTTGGTTTACGAAAGCAAGTTTCAAAACATGATACGTGATTTATTAATTTTTACCGTGAAACGGATTTGTGATTTTGAAAAAGAAGTACGGTTTATGTTAAGAGGACTTACCCTTAATGAGGTAGTATTATTAAGAAAATTGTTTTTACGATAAACATTAAAAACTAAATAAAGCTAAGGACGCATTTCAATAAACCGTTTCAAAGATGGCATGATCTGGATCGTTTTATTTATTTTTATTGAAATTCACTGCTGAGGATTTTGAACTTATCAACCAAATTTTAGATTTATATTTTAATTCTTATTCGTACAACTTCTTTATTTAGATCAAAATTATAGTGGCAAAGTTGGTTAATTCACATCGCTAATCAGTTTTTCCTTTTTAGATGACGACAGAATTCTTTTTAAAAAGAATATTGTCAAAAAAGTTAAAAGTTCTGAAGAAAAAAAAGAGGTCTTTATGAAGCCGAATTTGAATTTATTAGTCGTTTAAAAATCAGTTCTCAACTACTGATGATTTCCAACTTTTTGATCTATAAGGCGTTAAAGCTCCAGTTACTGGAACAATGGTTATTTATTTTTTTCTGCTTGAATTTTGCAGAATATATATGCATTATAAAATATTGACTGTGATAGATTTATAATTATAACCTTATTATAATATTTATGAGAATGAAAACTGTCTTCAAAAGTTTCAAATATCAAGATGAAAATAAGCATAATTTGACAAATGTGTGAGTTTTTTTTTTTGATATGTAAAAATAATTGTCACAATAACTGCGGAAAATCTTAGAAAGTCATTTTCAATACCAGTCAATAGCTAATGCAAAATATCTATTGCGAGAACTTAAGAAGTTTTTTAATGAATGTTCCCGTAAAGAGGGCAGTGTCTTAAGGTATAGTCAAATACTCATCCAGTCCTTCCACCCCTTGACAATCAAATGGAATAGATTCCTTTTCTCTTATGTATTAAAAATTGTGGAAATGCAGAGTAGGTGGTCTTCGTTCAGTTGCTTTGAAATTTTCTTTGATATAGTTAACTATGTTTTTTTATTTATTTTTTTATTTATT